AGTTTTCAGTCTCAAACTCCATTTTATTACAAACGGTTCCAAATGTTTGTAGGAAAATTTGCATATAGCATCAGGTATTACTTTTCTATTATATTCTTAATCAATTTCATATCCAATTCTACCATTAGGGGACCAAAAATTTATAAAATGTGAAAATAAAACATCCTTTAGGTTAGAATACATGATGGCAGTTGAAAAGAGGATGGAGCAAAATCGAAAAGTTAGCCTGGACTAAAGCGAGTAACTATTTTGAGGAAGACTCTTTCTTGCCTTCTGTAGCCTCTCTGGTTTTATATTTGCGTTCTGTTTTACAAATGTGTAATCTCCGCTCACTAAAATGCTAAAATTACGTTTTTCTCAATCCTTTCGCTCTCCTTCGTTAACTAGAAAATGTCGGTTATGGAAAACTTGTACAACTTGACAAAAAATGCTCAACCTTTCAGTTTCGAGTCTGTATTGGTGTGAAATTACAGTGTAAATGCAAGATGAGAAGGGATTTTATTCACACACTAGTTTCTTCACGCAAGTTCTTTTTATTGTTCTTTCATCTTTACATTGCAACTTCCAAATCGTGTTCAGAATGCGCGCAAAACATCATATTCTGACGGTTAAAAAAATGCGTAGGAGGAGTTGACGTTGGCTGTGAGTGAAGGCAATGGCCCCGTGAAGCCCTGCCCTGTGCGAAGCCCCTGCGAGCAGCCCTCTCCCTTCAGCCCTACGCAACCCCTCGCCTGTGATATTAGAGCTCACCATCGCCTTGCAACGGGATCACCGCAGAGGGTCCGACGGTTTTGATTAAATCACCAAACCTGCCTAGGCGCGAGCTGATTTGCGAAATGCTGAGCTTGAAAATAGTAGCATGTGCTTTCTCAGAGTTCCAAAGTTGTGCCGAAATTAGAACGCATGTTTCATTTTTCACGTGTATTTACATGTGTAGAGCACAATTTGCCTCTCGGATTCACTTAATCATCCAATTTACTTTCAACTTATACCTAACCCACACCCGAAATACCCCAAGACTACAACCTTCCTGTAGAATCTTAAGTAGACATAAATTATTAAAATGTTAAAAAAAACTAGTGGTGCTACAGAATGCTATACATATTACTCGTAAATGTTAGTTTCCCATTCTCGTGCTTCTGGACTACCTTTTCGGTTTTGCCCCACCCTTATTCCAATTGCTGTCTATCAACGCCTAAAAGATCTAACAGGACCCCCAGCGGTATTTACAGCTCCTGTGGAGACATTCCAAGATAAGAGCACCTTCGCTCTCTCTGAATGTCTCATAATCTTACGTCGTCTCTGTACCTCTACATACCTAATATATAAAAACCAACGTTTGTTTGTTCGTTCATATTTAACGTGCTGCTGTACCGTTGATCCGATTGCGATAAAACTTTGTCAACTTACTGCTTGCGCTTGTGGGAAGAATACGTATAGGCATAATATGGTGGGAATGTGTGTATGACTTCGCACGTATTATGGACGCGCGGTGATGTAATGCTGACCCAACCGCCCCTGTTCAGGCTCTCTACGCAACTCGCAGCACTCTGAAGTATCAAGTGTCCAACGGAGGACGCCACCGCTTCATCCCGAGGAAAAAACGCGCACTACTCTGACGGGACTAATGACAGCGGTTGACGCGCCCGGAATCTCTAACAATCAATCATTCATTCATAAGAGAACTAGTGGTGCTAAAGAATGGCTCATACTTTCTTGTATTAGTGATATTACTATTCTCTTCGATGTCTAAAAAACTATCAGTGCCTCTCACGGTACCTTCCGCTCCTCTGGATTCTAGTGAACACCACCTTCACGCAACCTGAACATCGCATACACCTTCCTTGGACGTGTACCTTTACATATTCACCCACGATATTCTTTGGCCTCCACCTTAGTGCTTGCCTCAGTGCCTAAATTAAACATGCAGATTGCACTCAGTTGGAGCCAGTCCAAGAAATTATGTTATAGATGTAAAACACGAGGGCTCGGAACGCCTCCCAGTCCTGAAAAAAGTTCATTTGCTTTGTCACTTTCATTTGGAGCTTTCGAAAATTCAGAGTTTACAGCGGAAATAGGAACTGTGCCATCTTCATAAATGGGTTTCATTCTATTCAAAGTAGTAAGTTACGCATTAGCAAGCAAATAAAAGAAAACATTTGCACCCATTTTTTTAGAAAAGTGTGAAAATGGCGCAGGTGCTTCATGTGAAGTACTACCTCCAAAATTTATTATTTTTTTGCAAAATCGCAGGCTTTCAAGTTGGGCAAGATTCATCGGGAGATATTTATTTTAGGAAAAATCCTTCGAATAGGTTAGGGGCGGTTGTTGTTTACAAATGGAGTGGGAGGTGGACATGCGGAGATTTTGAAAGGAAAATGTACAACACTTTTTTGGTATCAATAACCTCAAAAAGTGTATTTTCGTTGAAATATCGATATTGATTTTCCTCAGCATTACGTAACTTTCTCTCATTTTACGTATTATCTTATATTCGTACCCAGTAAAATGTAGTACCGTATCTACTTTTTTTTAATATAATTTTCCTGATTGAATATAAAAGAAAACTTAAACCATTGTGTTATTGAAAATATTATATTCTACAACATTTTCTGTAAAGGTTGATTGTTTGTTTTAGAAAATTGTTCATTAAGGTGTACACTAGGTTTAAAACTAAAACACCTTTGACATTATTGCTATAACATCTAACGGTGTCCAAAGTCATTCAGATAAATATATTCCATAATGCAAAGCACAGTATTGGCCTTGTAAGCAACAAAAATGGCATTTTTACTTCTAAATATGTTATTTTTATCAATATTTTTCAAATTATTATTATTTTACATAACCAGGAAACATGTTCGTAGAATCAGTGGGCCTCATAGCACACCGGCGTGGGGCGGCTGAACCCGAGGATATGCAGCCTTTAAAGCGGTGGGACCGAATCCCACGTAAGGCTTGGATATTGTGAGTTGTGTTTGTGGCACGGAGGCATTACGTGTTTCATGTTGATAACCTCTGCTCTCGTGATAACGTAATTCTTCACACTGACCAGTTACTGATTGTGAGATCCGTGTAGTATAATTGAGGAACTAGCGGCTCCCTACTCCTAGAACAATGGTACATGCACCGAGATAGGCCCAAGAGCTACCACGAGCAAGTTTATAATGTTAATGATGAAACATATGCATAAGACTGCGACGTGATTGGAGAGCCTCAGGGATCACTATATTTCAGGGGAAGGTAAGAGTAGTTGCCGTCGTGGGCATTGGTTTATCCATGAGGTGCTCATAGATGACGGAATGGGAGTGAGGCAAAGGGAAAAAGGGACACGACGCAAAAACCAATGGGAACTAATACACGTGCCAATTTGTAGGATCACAAATTCCAACATAGGTATTATTCCTGTGCCATCAGACTGAAGCATCAAGTTCCAACTGAGGTTTTTCCCATGTCGTTTACGTTTCCCATGATGTTTATTTAAGTCGTGTTTAGTCGGTCCAGGACAGCAACCTATTTTTGACATATTCTAAAACAGTGGATTATCGTCGAAGACCGCATCCCTCCGGAAATTGTAATCTTCCACCAGACAGATGGTTTGGAGTGCCAGCTGATAAAGCCTCCTGAGTGCAGTGTTTTCAAGGGAACCTTCTCCATTTGGCGAAATGACTTAATAATAGGATGTACAACTGTCCCCGTACGAGTCCAGCATTCCTGAAATGAACACAAATCGTTTCATAGTGTCTCTTCTGACACAAAATTATTTTTGGCTTGCCCCAGCGTCAGATTAATTGATGAGATAAGACTGAACCGCATATATCTCCAACAAAGTTACCATACCGACGTTCGACAGTGAGATATGTTTATCTATAAACTTGTAATCTTAAAATAACAATATATGACTTATCAAAGCATTTCGATTTCCGGGAATATTTGTTCGAGGTGAACAGAAAGTCTGATGCAAAAAATGTCAGATGTATGATGACTTCACTTCAGCTACGTATATTCTCGGTAAGGGCGTGTTGATCAGTTTCCTCAATTTACAGGCGTTGTAGCGTGCGGTATGATACGGCTAGTTTCTGGTTGTGCAATTGAAAGTTAAGTCAGCACCGCTTAAACTTGTGCGGGCACATATCATTCTGCCTCTCTCTCGCCACGGATATCTAGCCGAGTTGTCTTTTCAGGGCAAGTATGAATTTCTCAGCTTTCGCATCGATTTTCTCTGCCTATTACTAGCAACGTATAGTAGGCACTAACTGCTTGACCCTATTTTAATGCGATTTTTCATTTGTATCTTTAATATACAGACCCTGACATGATTGGATTATAGTTTCACCGTGTTTTATTTTTCAATTAGAAATATCGCGAATACGTTGTTATTTAATTGAAGGAGAAGAATAAGGAGAAAAAACTCGAATGTACCTTTAAATCATATCGCCTAATTAGATTTCTTTCTCATATGGTTATTAATAAAAATAACTACCACAAATATTATAATGTGGGTTTTAAAGATTGGAGATATGGAAGATATTCGACCCACCTTTCTAGCACAGTAGACTCACATGTATTCGAGACTCGTTGACCGAGGCAATCTTCGTAAAAATATTAAACACAGAAGTGAATGAGTTTGATGCTGCATTAGAAGTTAATCTTTCGATGTACGCCTGGGGCGTCCCATATTGTAGGAGTATTAGGACTTTCTTGAATTCGATCGCTCTTAGATAAAATTCGTTCAGTTTTATTCATGTTTTTTTAATGTGTTTAATTATTGATATACATATTTACAGATAACAGCTCCTTTTAACTTTAAGCTCAAAACCTACAATTTACCTCCTCTTGCATCCATTATCCTATTTTGTTCGTGTCAAATGTAGGAGGGGGTAAATTACCTCGCTAATCGCGAGACTACTATACACCCCACTGATTCTCCGAAAAGGGTGCCCCCTGGGCGCTTTGGCGCTCGTCGGGTGACTGGAGGGCCCTTCTGTGCTGTGTTGCAGGCGGCGATGAGTGGCGCTCGCGCGCGGTGAGGCGGGGGCCGAGGCCGGCGCCAGAGGGCCGAGGTGAGGCCAGAGCCGGGCCGGGCCGCGAGGGCCGGGCCCAGCGGCCGCCGCAGCCATGCTCATCAAGGAGTACCGCATCCCGCTGCCGCTCACCGTCGAGGAGTACCGTATCGCGCAGCTCTTCATGATCGCCGTAAGTTCTCCGTCAGTCTGGCAATGCAATTGCCCTTGTTGAGCGAAGGTTGGGATGGTCGTCTCTTACTGCGCACGTGTTTTTCATCTGTTTTATTAGATGCGGCAGGAGTGGGGGAGAGGTTAGTTATTTCGTCACCATTACTATTTAATAAAATATGTAACCCGTTATGTCATGCACGTAGCTTCTGATACGTCGGCGTAAACGTATGGCCAACGTCTGTTGCTACCATTGTTCATTATTAAACTAGGTATTCTGATAGAGAGGAATACGGATTCCGGAGCCCACGAAAATGTGTCCTAGTTGTACTTCTCTCTCCAAACGTCACACAGTTTTTACTATTTTAATACTAAAATAAATACACCGTTATGCTATTACATTAGCGAAACCTGTACGAATGCGCTCCAATTGTACTTGAGAGGAATATCATAATACAATATTCCACGTAATTTATCGAGTCGTTAATCAAGTAGTACGAACGATATGGTCATTGAAGTGGTTTCAAACTTGTGATACTGGTTGTGCTGTATTGCTTATATAGTTGCATGACAAATCCAATCAAAAACGAAATTAGCCGAGATCGCTAAGGCAGTAGTGCCGTGGTGAACTCGGGCCAAAGGACGTGTGTTCGAGTGGGCATAGTAGTATTTGTGTTCGTCCTTTCACCCCTCACCATAACCATATCACTTCGTTCAGTATACAGGTACCCCTAACGTTAATCAGTATTCGCTAGTGACCTCGTAGTTAATGCGACCTTAAATTAACAAAATAATAATAATAATAATAATAATAATAATAATAATAATAATAATACAAACTAATAAGATGTGCGATCCTAGATATGAAGCGATAGCAGAACACTTCGGAGACTTTTACTGAACGTTATGTCTTAAAAGCAAAACGATGTATAAAAAATCGGTGCATGTAACGTTAAATTTTTAGTGATCGCCTGTTAGTGTTTTATGCTTTCTAATTTCACGATGCACAAAAACTATTATCTTGGGTAAGAGCGTGCTCACTTAGTTCCTCAATCTACTGACGAGGCATAAAAAGCCCCCCTTGTCGGGAAATACGGCGTTGAAGACATTGGCTTAATATTGACGGTCGCGTCGAAGCGTACGAAGCTCATTACGCGTGAGCTTAAGGTCAGGCTGCGCTAGCGGAGCCCAGAGACACGCATGTGTAAAAGCCTGGAAGAAGATTGGAACCGCGTTTTTACCTGCGAAAAGTCATCAATAAGTAATCATATAATCATCATTCTATTAAATAATTAATTAATTAATTTAGTATAAAATAAATAATTTGAAATAATTTGCGAGTTTAGTACCTTCGATATATTTGTCTAAAATGATTTATTTTGTATCAATCATGCAATTAATTAACAATGTAAAAATGCCATTTCCACTTTTGTGATGTTTGAAAGTTATGTTTTTCTTACGATTCTTTTATTATCAAGAATGGTGATGTGGCAGGCCTGACCAGGAGGGTAATCCACAGTGAAGCGGTCTAGGACTTGTTAATTCTAATGACCAAATCTCACTGATGAATCGACATGTTTCAACAGACTAATGAAAAATGCTTTTGTGCAGAAGACGGTCATTGGAAAACTCGAATCCTATGACTTGAGCTTGTGGTGTCTTTTAGTCTTATTTCCTCAGTTCATTCAAAACTTTCTAGTGTTTCCAGTATTGCTGCTTGGTTTTACATTTAAGAATACTAAGAAGTTTTGTCTCCGCTCAAGTGTGGTGGGATGGCGTGTGCTGTTGTAGAAGAAGAGCCGCGAGGAGTCGAAGGGGCAGGGCAGCGGTGTGGAGATCCTCGTCAACGAGCCCTACACCGACGGTCCGGGTGGCAGCGGCCAGTATACGCACAAGATCTACCATGTGGGCAGCCACTTACCAGGTGAGTAATTATTAAAAAAATTATACTCAACTTGCTTCAAAATTGAGCTTAAGAAATTCAAAATTAAGAGAAAATATGTATAATTAGCGTTACTTTTGGTTTGATATCGGAGGATCTGTTTAAGAAATAAATGTGATTCAGGGAAGGGAAGTTGATGACATCCACCCAAGAGATATAAATTACAGTTCAATCTACGAATTTTCTGGTTAAAAAGGGAGAACAGTCAGTGACTATAAATTTACGAAAAGTACAAAACGGGGGGACTATGTATACAGTGTCCCTTTCAAAATTTTCAGGAAGCAGCCCTCCCCTGTGTGCACGCCTATGTGAATTCAATGATCATGACTTATATTAATTGACTCACTATAGTTTTTGCTTCTCTTTATTCTTACTAAAATTCCAATACGGTCACCAGAATATTTAGGTAATGGGACGGTGGTCACAGCAACTGTAGTTCCTTGAATAAAAATTATTTAAACAGTGTATTTCTAAACGGACATACGTGAGATCTTGAAGTATTACGGTAATTAATGAGATAAGATATTGTTAGGAATATTGGATGTACATTAATGGCATTGAATATGCTTTACGTTAGGACTACAGGAGATGTTTTACATTTGAAATGAAAAATTAACGACTCAAATCTAATGAACAAATGAAAACTGATTATAATTTTTTTATATTATATTTTTTTTATTTTATATGTATAGTACGCTAAGGGAAGCTGACGGTTTTGAATGATTTATACACGTAAATCGTACCGCTAACGGCAGAAAACCTCTTAAATATGCTTCTGCTAGAGTTATCACCCAGAGATCTATCAAACACCGTTAAGATGGAAAGTGTAGACTTTCGTGGATCGAGCTGTATAGAAATCAGTGAGCACATGTTATACTGCAACATAAGGAACCATTGGGCATAATTCGAAAATAGAATCTTAGATCCAACACCCTTACAAAGGTGATCAAGAACGTGCAGAATCTCAAAATTCCATAAAATTAATGGCAATCAACTCGAAAAATTATATATTTGATTTGTTATGAATTTTATTTCCATGTTTAGATTTTTCTAATAATTTTGATAATGTTTGGTGTAAGTGATAACGGAAGATGCTTTTGTTATTCATTTATTTATATGTCTGCACCTGTGGGAATGGCTGTGTATTTTAACACGCGAATTTTTAAACAGCGTACCTTTGGACCTTATTCATGCAGAAGAATGTGGTTTGGTTTATGACTGTCAGAAAGCTTTCAGAAGTCACTGTGTATTTTGATGTTTGTGTATATTTTCGTACATTTTGGCGAGTACTTGTGTTTTGTAGTCGTGTTTGTACATTTGTGTAACATTGAAGCTTGTTTGTAAAAATCTATATTTTGGGCGATAATTGTTCCTTTTTCTCAGAACCGATACTGTCACAATTATTCCAATATTAATAGAGTAGGATGCAATACGAACAGTGAAGTACGAAAAGTACTGTAGTACATTTATTAATGTAAGAGTACAAATTATGAAATTATACCAAGATAAAAACATTTTTGTGTTAAATTTTTTATATGTATATTTTTATTACATATATTACTAATGCAAATATAAATGTGCTACAGTATAAGCAAAACATATTGTGTTTTACGAATATCAAATCTCAAGAAAATAAACACAATACGTTTTAAGAAAAAGTAACTCACAATTGTAAATTTAAAATGGGCAGATTAGGATTTTTGTTTCCCCATTAGATTTGGTCTTGCAAATTCATCTTAGGCTAATTTTTTGTTATAAACACTTAGGCAGAATGTTCACTCACCCACAGAAGCTGGCATATATGAGTATAATGTAACACTTAGTTCAGGGTCTGGCCGTTGGAAGTTTTTTTGAAAATGAAATTATTTTCACTTTTAAAATGATAATTTAGAAACTTAGCGATGTTCACATGCATACAGTCATTGCTAATACTTGAAGCCCTCGGTTACGCATGATTGCTGCAGGGTGGTTCAAGAGCCTGCTGCCCAAGTCTGCGCTGACGGTGGAGGAGGAGGCGTGGAACGCGTATCCCTACACCAAGACGCGCTACACCTGCCCCTTCGTGGAGAAGTTCCTGCTGGAGATCGAGACGTATTACTTTGCGGACAACGGCCACCAAGAAAATGTGTTTCGCCTCACTGGCGGCGACCTACGCAACAGAGTCGTGGGTGAGTTGTTGTACTTCAGATACAATTATTTCCTTTCTGGTAAATAAATGTCCAACCTACATCGAGTTACTTCCACTAGTTTAAAATATAATTAAAGAAAGCTTGAAAGTTGAAATGTCATATCTTAATGTTCTATGATATGACTTAATAGGGACACACTTTATTTATAAGTGTTGTTAAGGAGACGTCAACTAATTTATCAATTTCGAAATGTGTACGTTGTGCAACAAAACGTGTGTGGAGATTCACTAAACGAATACAACTAGCTAATCTGATATTATACTATTTGCGTTTGTTCGTCGACAACGTACACTTACGTTTAAGTTCACCTAACTAACATTTATGGTAGGGTTTTACTGAGGGTGATCAGAAATATGAAAACATGTCACGGAAAGTACCTTACAGTGTCTAATTTGGTTCAGGAAAGCCAAGGACTCTTCGCAGTGTTCTTAGCATAGATACATGCTATCCTGAATTGTTTGCAAGGGAATGGAAATTAGAACAATTTTTGCCGCAAAACGCCAAGTTTGCTTGCCGATGATGGGTAGCACGCGCGTAGATTTCTCTCTAAAGTATGTTCAAAATGGATATGGCGATTGTGGTGTTAGCAGATGTGACACTTTGTTTCGTGCTTAGAAAACCAGATGTGGACAATGTGAACTGTATTAACAAGGGCGTTAACGCCATGGGATACGCTGCCACCATTGATGAACAAAAATTTGATTTATTACATAGATATAGTTAGCCAATTTGGTCACATAATCTTTGGAAATAGTGTGATGTTGCAGGAAACAGTCATTGTCGTAATAAATTCGATTCGTCATTTACCCTAGCATAAACACTTAGAAGTCGGAGAGGCTGAATACTCATCCAACGAAATGAGTCTTATGTTGCTTGTAGTTTTTTTTATCTCCGATGAGTAGCTTAGAAATAGTGACATGACCGAAAATACGGTGGGTTGTGGAATTTTTGTGGCCCTCTTTCTGGGGTGAGAAAATTGAAAATTGATGTGAATACTAAAAAGTATTGGATTATTTTGTACGTACTTACGTACCTCAAGAAAATCATTTGTTACCATTAGAAACAATTAAGTAGGCTTAAACTTCTCTTCGGTAGATGGGAAATCTTAGCGAATCATCACCTTTAGTTTAATATCAAACGGAGTATTATTTACAATACGAGTATACAGCTGTGCATTGATGTTCCAGATACTGTCGACATTTAAATCGGGCGTCTGGTTTGTGATCGTTGGCAGTTGTCGAGTGATTTGCGCTATTCTTTCTATAATTTTAAATTAATTCACGTAGTATTGTAGGCTAGCGCGTTTTAATTTTTGTTGTTCATTTATTTTAAGCAATTTTTCTTTAGTAAATTTAAATAAGTTTATTCTTTGTGTTGTGCCAAAGCACAAGTTTTCCCCTACTACCTCCGCATACCCGTGCGAGAACTCTCGCATATTGAACCCCACACTCTTCCATATCTTTATGTATCCATTCTAAGAGGGGAAAGTTGTTAACGAAACGTATTTATTTGTTTAAAACTGTACAAATGTAACTTTCCGTGTACTAACACAATAACAAATAAAAATAAGAAAACAATGCAATTGATGTTGAAAAGAAATTTTCAATAAAGATGTATCCAGTATTATCGGGAGATTTCTTGGAACGATTCACAACACTTAACAATATTTAAAGTAACTATTCAATATTCTTTGACAGTTAGCTTTTCGTGATAGTCAAAATAATATTTTAAAAGTCTTTTACTCTTGAGAAAGCTATTTGGTTGAACACGTTGACTTGAAAGTTTCACCAAATCTAACAAGAAAAGTCTTCACTGTACACACACATTCCTCCACACTTAGATACACAGTACATGTAGAACTCGGCAAAACGTTAAATGAGTGATTTCACTATACGCTTAAGAAACAATCTTCGTCGGCAACAAGCAGCTATTAATAGTACTTCCAGTTGTTACTGCGAGAGCTAATCTTGAATTAATTATTATGCAAATAAACCTCATCAGACTGCGCAAACCACGGTGTACACAGAAAGCGAAAATAATTTAAGATAGAGGAATCTGAGCCTTTTAAACGCGACGTCACAAAGTCCACCATCTCAAAGAGTTGAAATATTGGTGGAATTGAAAGTATTTTATAAGTACCAAACGAGCAAAAATTCAATAGAATGTCCAAGAATATCTCATCCTGTAGATCACAATGTGAGGAACGTTTCTTTGATACCTTTGAATTCTCCTTTTTTTAGAGACATTTATAAAGATTGTTTGCATGTGAGAGCCGTACAAGGTATGTATACTACTCAAATAATATAGGAGACGATCTTCGAGAGAGGCTAAAGGCGATAGGATCACTGTGTTTGCAGGCGCCTCTATTCTATTGCGTTTCCACTATTAACCTTGAGCCTGTTTAGTTTGACTTAACTCATTACTACATGTTCTATATTCACTTAATAAAACTCGTGTAGTGCACGTTATTTGAAGTAAATGCGGTCGCGATATAAAGCGCAAACCTTAGATATGATTGCACGTAAAAATTTGGAAAAATCCAGTTTACATTTAAAATTTTGAATTTCAAAACTTCCAAATTTTTTTCAACGTTCGTGTACTTTCATTATATATACCATAGTTATTGTTATTGAGGTAATCGATTCTGCAGTGTGTTTCAAATGATGTTGTATTTGTCGTGTTCCAATAATGCAATAGTTTTGGCATACATCTGAAATAAACAATAACACCTTTCTTCTAAAATGACTAAAATGTTTCATTAAACATCCTTAACGACACGCCGCCCCGTGCCGACGCGACTCGCGTTGCAGACCTCATCGACGTGGTGAAGGACCAGCTGTACGGCGCAGACTACCTGCGCGATGAAGACCCCAAGGTGTACGTGTCGCAGAAGACAGGCCGAGGGCCTCTCGCTGACTCCTGGTTGGACGACTACTGGCGCGAATGTCAGGTGGGTGGTCGCGCTAGAGCTCTATCATATCAGCATCTATACTAAACGAGGCGTGTTAGTAGTGGGGTGGCAAGAGAAAGAGAGAAAAGCTATTGTGGGTTCCAAATTCAAATTATATGCAAAGTAAGAAGCGTTCTGATCTAGTAACTATCCGTTTCACATTTCGGAAGTGCAATAATTGAAAGGTAATAGCGTTCCTTTTGTATTATTGTGCGATGGTGGGTTGTGAGGGTCCAGGGCGTTTGCGAATACGGTGGGCGCTGTGCACGTGCACAGGGCCGGGACATGCCGCTGCCCAACGGGAAGTCCATCATGTGTGCCTACAAGCTGTGCCGCGTCGAGTTCCGCTACTGGGGCATGCAGACCAAGCTGGAGAAGTTCATCCACGACGTGGGTGAGTAGCGCGTTCTCTGTCTGAGATGTTATCTGGTTGGGAGAAGAGCTGTGGGAAGGATCGCGTGTGTGTGCTGCAGCGCTGCGGAAGACAATGGTGCGTGCGCACCGGCAGGCGTGGGCGTGGCAGGACGAATGGCACGGGCTCACCATGGACGACATCCGCGCCATCGAGCGCCAGACGCAGGAGGCCCTCAAGCGCAAGATGGGCGCGGGCGACGGCGACGGGGAAGACGCGGACGAGGCGGACGCGCCTGGCGACGGCGACGGCCCCTCCGTCACCGCCGCCACCCCGGACGACGACGCCGCCGGCGTGGCCAAGACGCTGCAGGCCACGTTGGGCAGCATCGAGAAGCCCGAGGCGGACGTGGCCAGCCCCCCGGCCGCGAAGCGCACGCCGGCCGCCCCGCCACCGCCCGACGCCCGCGACGCCTCCGACGCCTCCGACGAGGAGGAGCAGCGCACGGCGGAGGCGCTACCGCCGGACACCGTCGTCAGGTGAGCAAAGGCTCGAACCCGACCCTCCGGCACACATCTGGGGGCGCCAGCTTGCGACTCTGCACGCGGTCCCTGTCCAACCCTTAAGGAACCCTCGCGCCTTGTTTAGGGACAACGTCTCGACTGGCCGGTCAGGAGCACTTGTCCCGTCAGAGGCGCAGATTCGCTTACCGTTTCGGAGATCCCCTGCACACTTCTCTAAACGGCTGTTTACTTTCTATACCGACGGGATTTCCTTTGACAAAAGATCTAACCACTGCCGGTCTCCAGATTGCATCTGTTTGCGTTTGAGTGAATTTATGAATTAATGATCCAGAATCTCCCGCTCGGGCAAAAGTGTCAGTTTTTTTTTGTAATTATTATCACCGTCTGATTTATGTGATTTTATTTATATGTCTACAAAATTAATGTTTTGCCTACAAGAAATGTACTTGTTACTAACGTATCTTTCAGTTAGGCTTTTCATTAACTCCACAAATATGCAAGAATTATTTATTTAGGTATATTTGGGTTAGTTTTGCCTAATACTTATAATTTGATTTCAACGTGTCTTGACTCATGTTCGGTTTGGCCACGGTACATCTTTTCAATCAGAGAATCAGCAGTGAAATACGCAACGTATTCACCACGCGTATAGTTCCAATACTGCGAGGAGAAAAGGCAGGTCGCTGTCTGAGAAATGCATTTTGCGGCTCTCTTTTTACACCGTATGTATCAGACGGCGGTTTATTTAGATTTATTCACTCAAAAAAACAGTAAAACTCTATGTAACGTAGGGGGGAAAGGATCATCTGCGCACGTTTTCTTGAGTTCCAGAATCGCTTCCCGTCTCATTTTAACTATAAATAGTTGAAAGAGGAGTGAAAGTTTAACATAAATAAATAAAAATAACTTTTAAAAATCGCAAGATTAGCAATATTTGAAAAATAGTCATTTTCGTTTCTGAGTTATAGAAAACTTATTTGCATCGGTACACGAATTGCAAGTATGATTTTTCTGCAATAGCAATTCGCCCTTACCTCTATTCTTACCATTACATGCAAAACGAGAGTTCAACAAAACGTGCGCATAGTGAAGTTACATTTACGTCCAGAAGCAAAACAAGGGGCCATCTCAGCATTTGCTCGTTGGATCAGGGAAACTGGACAAAAACTTGATCGAGATGGATATTTACCATCTCACAAAATATTCACTCGGAGATTCACTTTGTTTTGAGAAATTTAGAGTTATATTTGTATATTTCGCCCAAACTTCGCGCTTACAAAAATCACGGCAGGGATTTTGAGGGAAGTACAAAATATTTTTAATACTGAATTTTTTCCTTCCTTTTCAGAAATAAACTGATTTCAATTCGTGAATTGCATTTTAAAAGCGCAACCCTAATAAAATCTAGACTTATCACTTGAAATCCTTTGTAACAGAATGACACAGTATCTTCTCGTACCTATTTTCTTGCGTCTGGGCTACCTTTTCGGTTTGTCATGTCCCAGCTGCCATCTACCGGTGCCTGAAATACATTTTAAAACATTTTCTAAAGTTTGTAGTCTCCTGATAGTATAATTTAAAAGTGACTTTAAGAATATTATGGAAGAAGAAAACCTGGTTCTACAAGCAAATTTTCATGAAAAAAATTGGATCCATTGGCGAGAAAGTGTCGTTGGTGCATTTCTGAAAATGTCCAATTTTGAGCTTTTTTCACAGACTAGTTTTTGAGAAACTTCATTATAAATCACGTGAAGCACCTGACACAAATGCAATAATATATCAAAACACCCTTAATGTGAGAGAGAGAAAATACACATTCGTAATTTAGGAAAAATCAATAGAATTCATCACAATGACGTTTATATCATGATATTCCGTGCACTTGCAATATGCGCACGAAACGTTCAAAGCAGTTCTCGAGAAAATATTGCTTTTAATATGGCCTACATTTCACACAAAATTACTCAAACATTACTATTTTAAAAAATGTTTATGACACATATTAAAGAACTAATTTAGAGAACTAATTTCATTTGAAGGAAAAATCTCTAGTCTTCAGTATTGTTCGTAAACAATTACTTTCATTATTGTAATTGAAAAATTGGGCAGGACCTGTTTAAAGACACAATGTTGTTCAACAGATTTCATTAAGAAAAATCTTTTTATTTAATAGTGTAGTTGAAGGAAGACGCCGAACAAATGGTGAACTTTTGCAATTATCGAACATTCAGAGAATTCAACAACAATTATAAATGCGCTGTGTTTTATAATCGCTTTTCTTTTATTATAAAGAAAATTAATCAAAAATATTGGAGCTATTTTTGCGAAACTTTTGAGAATTATTAGGGGTTATGGAAAGTATCTGCAGAAATCAATATATTTAAAATTCAAGGGGTAGCGACATACGCCAGATCGATCAGGGAATATCAATTTTGGTGAAAATCCTGCCTACGGTTTAGCTGCTTGTGGTGTTCGCACACACGTTTTGCCATAAAACATTTTTTTCAGTATCAAGAACTCAGAAAATGTGGATTGTGACTTCAACATCTTGTCAGAGGAAATAATTTATAGAATATTAGGACAATATTTATCTAAACTTTACTTCCTGCCTACTGCTTACGCAGCATAGAAAAAGTATTGTAACGCTCCGGGAAATACTTGCGAATTTTCGACAGAAAAACTCTTATTGCTGGGCACCGTTAACGAAAAATGAACAAATCTTGTTCCTATATGTATTCAATTCCTCTAACACGTGTAGTTAGAATCCACGTTTGGTGGATCCTTGATACCGAAATATTTTGTGTTCGATGTAATCAAGGTAAGTTCGTGTGAAGTTATTCTTTCTTTTCAGTATAATGTGCTGCAAATACTGAAACCGTTAAATATATTCATGTTTGTTTCATGTATAAAAGTAAGAAATGATTACTGTTCAGAACATTCGAAATAAATTCAAATATGCTTCACAGGCTCTTCGTTTGAATTGGAAGTTTTCAAATGTCGTATGAGGAAATGAGAACATCGTTGTCGATGTGTTGCGACGTAGAACGTGTGTCTGCGAGCCCCTGTACGTTCAGAAAGGCCAGAGAATCGATGCAAGATATCGACTCGTTCGTCGCGCCACCCGCGCATCGACGCCGAGCCGTCGGTTGCCTAAGCGCCAGGCGCTCTTGCTGAAAATACACAATGCAGTTAACATACATTTTATTTTTCTAAAAGAAATTGCTTGTTGCCGAACTGATTTGAATGCACTAAACCAGCTATATTTGCTTTGAGATAGTGTATTAAGGAAGTAACCAGCATAATCCTAGAATCTGACCGGCTGAGATGGCTCACGGTATTAACTGATGTCAGTGCAGAGGCTCTAGCCGGGAGGACTCCGGGTTCGAGACATGACAGGGGCAGGATTTTCGTCACTAGTTAAATTGCTTCCGCTGTCTGGAGGAGAATTCTAGCGATCGGCTACTCTGATTGACAGTTGTCTGTGGTTTCTCCGATCAGTCCAGGCGAATGCGAGGCAATACCGTAACAAACTGGCCAAGGCCCGCGCGTTATCTTTCCTTGCCCTATCCTCACCCCTTCCTTACACACACACTTACATGCACTACACTACCACCTGTGCCAGGAGACCAGTCGGGAGCTTAAGAGCTTGTCCCAGCTGAGGCGGTGCCCCGATGTGAGAGATACCTGGTTGGGGGAAGAACCCAAGTCCACATATAGGTCGGTGCCGGATCTCCCCATCCAGCTGGGAAGAATAGCGCCACCTCCTGCGATAAAAACATGTTTTATAGGTACGGGAGTAAGTGCCATAGCAATTGAAGCATCCGGAAACTTAAAATATCTCGTCACGTAAAATAAGGCATCAATTCAATTCAGTTCAAAATTTAATGAGTCCAAATAGAAAGAAATTTTAAATCATACTACATAATTAAGAAGGTGCTGCTTCTAATGATGTAAAAGTCGTGTTTTAAAAGATGCGTAACAGGAAAATATTCGTTTTGTAATTTGAAGAAATTGGGACTAAAATATCTTCCTTTTCTTGGATTCAACGAGTTATGTCCATTTACGAATTCTAACGTAGAATGCGTAAAAGTTTTAATATAGCCTGATGGATGTTTTCATACAAAAAATCCTGAACCGTGAATGCCAAACAACTATTGTTATATCATTTAGGCGACATTTTGGCAAAGTTGGAACATTTTCTGACTCCGCGACTCGTGCCTGAAATGAGAAAGAAAAGAAGAAAACAAATAAGCTCATTGAAGGCAATCCTTGCTCGCTTCGTTGAAAAAAAGGAACTGAAAAGTGCACTAAAATACTTCCAGAACTTCGTGGCTTGAGTTAATGTTAATTAATCGCTCCGCCTTGCCATGTTGATACCACGAACTCGACCATTTGACAGCTCATGTAACCTCCTCGTCATTAAGCTCCGTTATACAGCTAGAAAAGGTCTCTTCCTCCTGTCCGACCCCCATTGCGCTGAATGGCGCGCGGTAAGCTGATCGGCGCCGTCCATCCCGTTTCCAGTCGCCGACGCCGCCCTCGGTCGCTGCCCGGGGTGAGATACCCCTTCGAGCCCGCGGTGCCGCCTTTGACTTTGAGATCCATCAGGATAACATAGTCGTGTTGCCGGGCCCTGGGGTTCCTCAGCATCCGTCAGCAGTACACATCTCCATAAAACAGATTGTTCGTAGGTCTGTTACTGTCCACGGTAGGCGCACTGTATTTGTCGAACTGCCATGGTGCTCTGAGCTAACACCGGAAAATCACAATCCACGCGAGTGCTACTTCGTGGGCCTGTCAGCAAGTGTCTCTCGCTTCGAAACGTTAAGTAAAACAAGTATTTAACTGCTTAAGAGGCAGTGTTGTCCCATAGCAGCCGCGATCGGCAAACAGTTTGTCACCGGGGGTGGGGAATGTGCACTTTGTCCTGGGAAGACAATGTTCATAGAGGGGAGAGCCTCCAGCGTTCGTCCAACGTGACGAGCTTGTCTCGTTCTCTCGGTCTTCCAGACAGAACATTTGTTTTCGTGTTCCCGCACAGTGTTTGCGAAAGAATTAATATTTCTAGTCAACTCTTCCTCCTTTTTCTGCTAGTCTTTATTTTCTTTAATAGAACAATTTCTATCAGCTTATTCTCTGGATCATCTATAGCGACACCGCTCTTGGAACCGGAACAAAAGCGATGTTGCGATTTGTGGGCTTGTAGAAGGACGTGGGCGCGGGCGGGCTCCCCCAACTGCTGTATGCTTTGCGTGTGGCAGATTCCGAGGCAGCGTGGGCGAGGTGTGCAGCGTGGCGAGCGCGGCCGGTGCGGCGGCGGGTGGCGGAGCGGTGCGCGGCGCGCGGGAGGCCGCGGCGCCTGTGGCGCGCAGCGGGTTCGCGTGGCCACGCTCCACCTCTCCGGCCCCAGGCCCGCCCAACGCCCCCGCCGCTGGAGCTGCACGTGGCCAACTGGCGCATGGAGAGCACGTGGCGCGACTCGGAACGACGCACGCCAGCGACGATGACCGACGAGTTTCTTCGACTGCCAGGTGCGTTTTCAGCTCCCGCCCGGCAAGGCGCCTCACCCCCGCAACTGCTACATTCCCCGCCCGCACCCGCCCCTCCCGCGCCTCACGGCTTGGATGCTACTCCCCGGAACCCGCGTCCTACGAAATTCTATTCTTCATTGAATGGAGCGACATCCCTTAAAGATTTCACGACACTCAATGTTCGCGCCAAGTGCAACAAAAGCGTATCTTAAAAAACTAATCAAGTAAGATTTTTTCCATAGCAGCTCTGTTTTTTTAAATATTTCCTAAGGGCACTATCCATTTTTACGTACCGAAAGTCACTTGCTCAGTAAAACACTGTGGTTCCAGAAATTATGCCAAAGTCAGTTTCAGTCATTTGTAATGATAAAGATTGTAGTAACTCAGTTATTGATTCTCTTTAGCTTTTTTATTTTGTAGTAGTGTCATAGCGCCATCTAAAATTTGCTAATCAATATTATCACATCTCACTGTTTAAAAAATAAATTGAAATGATAATAGGGAGTTTCAACCATTTATAATGATTGCCAATAATTTTGTATTTGGATCTTTTAGTATATTCTCTTCTCGGATAACTGACAAATATTAATTAATTTATAATGTTGTGTGATTAGTTACTGTCTTCTTTACAATAGCTGCCTTCTTTAGAAGAAACCTTCAGATCCAATTTCTTTAGATCTTGAAAAGCTCAAATCAATTATATTGCTTCTCACTTGAATATGGTCAGACTCTCTTTGTCAATCTAAAATTAAATACAAGAGTTGGGGCACAAGTCACGGCAACTCAAAGTAGTTCCTTACAGCGTTCATAATACGACTCTAACGATGTGGGAGGCACTAAATACCATCTGCTTCACCATTTTCATCTTGGGTGATTCTGGTCATTTGTTATTTCACACCATTTGTAATGACCTGAGATGTTCCAAACAGCCTACCACATAATGGTTCCTTTGCCTTTGATTTTGTATGCGGTCAAAGTCTCATGGAGAAAGTTCAGAAGAATGTGGTGAGTGCTCTAATTATTCCCATCCATAGCGAAGCAGTAGCCGCTTTTCTCAGTCTGCATTGTATGGTCTTGGGCTTGTTTCGGGGAGTGATTGCAATGTCCAGAAGATCAGGATGTTTCTCCCCAACACCACGTCGTACCTGCCTCAGAGGGGAAACCCTGTAGTAAGCTGTTGTTACTGTTCTCCCATGTGACACGAAGTGGCTCATAATGACGCCCCTGATATCATAAGCGACTAGAAGAATTCTGACGGATCATCTGCTTTCATGGTGATCAGATATGTTGCTACTCGGACCCAAATTCGTCGATTGCGATGGTTCACGAAAGGAAGTGGTCGCCGTCTTGTTGCCATTGTGCCAGGTGGTTGGAGCATGTTGCATATCGCATCCAGTTTTGAATATCCGTCAGTGCATGTGGTACCCAGTTCGATGCATGTTTCCGCAAGTGCAGATCTTTCTTGAATATCCTGTGGATGGTGCATTGTTCGATGTGACTTTCGTTCTGTAAGCGTCCATCGTCTGGTTCCCTCCAGCACTTCTTACTACCTCTCTGCTCCAGCAGGTGCTCTGTTACCGCTGTGCCACATCGGTTCCTTGCACAGGTCGTCGCGTGCGTTGCTGATCACTGGTAGCTACTTGCCCTCGCAGAAACTCTCCTGCTCCTCTCGTGACGGTATGAAATGGCATTATTCTCAAGAGCCAGCCTTTCTCACACGAAGTGCGGCTGTCTTGATGTTTCAGTGTTGCTCGTTTTTGTTACATTCATCTCGCACGGCGGCAGTCAGACAACTGATTTCACGTTGCTCTCTGTGCCAATAAGAGATTCTCACATAGCCATATATTGTAGTGAACACTCTCTAGCACAGCTTTTCATGCAACAAATAAAATTGTGTGATCCAGTTACATTTCTTTTAGGAGAAAAATAGTTGCCGTCTTTTGTCCCAACTATCATATTAATGCTTATACTAAAAGTTATAGTAATGGCTAATGTAAATTGCCATTACAAAAGCCACCAAAGACTTTCAGTACTTTGTTTCATCTGTGAAAAGAGAGTGTGATGTTCTTTTGGTTATTAGTCCTACATCACATCATAGATTGTGCAAGTAGCAGGCAGAATGCTAATTTAAGAAGAAATAGATGGATATAAGGGAATCTCCTTGATGTATCCTTCACAACTCTTTGAACAATTTTATTGTTGTGGGTATTAATTTTGTTGAATGCAATATAACTTACATTCTCATAATTTCTTTCAAAGCCAGATTATGGCACTCATTCAGAGAATTCAGCATGTGTCTTTATCATCTCATTTAATACCTGCCTCAAAGTTTCAGCATTGGTGGTAAGTTAGTGTTTGCATTCAGCTCCTTGGACTTCGTCTTTGTTATTTTTTGTAAATATTATGTATGTTGTTTGAATTGTAAGGTTTTCTTTTACAATTCAATGGCATTTTGTCTGCCCTTGTGATTAAGCAAATATCTATAAATATATTCTTCCTTCAGAATGTATCAAGTCTTCACTGGGTCATCCATTTCTTCAGGAAAACTCGTAGTTAATCCCCTGGTGTCTGTTCAGTAACAGTCTGTTTAACCAAAAATTGTGAACTTTATCAAGGTTTGGCACCTTTCATTATGTGACTTATTTACTGCCTTTACAACTACAATTAAAAACTTCTCGACTTCCACAACAAATACTCCTTTCTATCATTTAGATAAAACTTAGATTCATTCTAATCTTGAAGTATACCCACTCTATGCATATACTGTAGTATACATGAGGAGAAAAATGAAAATCAATGTGCACATTTGTACTTCAAAAGAGAGTGAGATAGAGAGAAAATATCTTTAAAAAAAAAGAAGAAAACTGCAAAATGCCTATGGGGAATACTTCCAAAAGTAAACCATACTATAGCCTTTCTGGAGAGATTCTCATTATTAGAAATCTTCTGTTCATGCTTTTATCACTATGGACAAATGTATCAGATTTACAATAAATGTGCTAGTGACATAATTTTAAATTTAAAAATATTTAGCCAGCATTGAGTCCCACCATTCCACCCTAACCTTTTAGCTACAGTCACACAGTGTCACTTCTTCCTTCAGGCTCAGGCTGACACTAGGGATTCATTCCATGGCAGCTCCTCCTCATTTTGTCCAATTTTAGAGATGTCGTAGATAAAGTGTGTGTATTACTGAAACTTCATCCAGTAATTATCAAATACACATTTTATGAAAAATGTAAGTGTATGGAACAGAATGAAAATTCCCTTTAGAAAAACACATTCTAATTACATATTAAGGATAGATCTATGACTAATTTTTAGCATGTGTTAAATGATATCTTTATATCATTAATAATATGAAGAAATGATTCACTCCTTTAATGAGTGTGTGACTCATACTTTTTCATCTTTCACACCCCACAAAGAAAAGATGTGAAGATGAAGGCTCTGGGGAGAACATTTTTCCGTGAGAGTGGCCAACCTCCCAAGTTGCAGTGCAATCCTTCTGCATGTTGCTGATGCTACTTTCCTCGTGGGATGTTCTGAACTGGCACTCTTTCTATGGAAATGGACCTCAGAATGTAGTAGTCTTATGAGAAGAATAAATCTAGAAGGAACTTCAAAGTTTGATTTGAAGTACTGAAAATGAAAATCATTGAATTTCAAGGAAGAAGAAATATTATTTTTTGTAAAATTATAATCGTATTTACTGTTTAATTTGTAGAGTATCATCTATTTATTCTTTCTAACCAACTCGTTTATCAGAAAATCGTAAGAATCTATTAATGGACAAGAATACTGTAGATTTAATTCCATTTTCTTAAAATTAGTTTTGAATGTCATTAAATTGAGATAAACCATTTCAAATGAACAGAGGAATTCAAATAGATAGTTTGAAAATATCTTAGGAAAAACACAGAAATAAAGGGTACTTTGCGTGAAAAATATTATAAAATTGCAATTGTAAACTACAACAGTCTCATTACCTGAAATAATTTTCGTTTCTAATTATGTGAAATTTTTGTTGCCTAATTTTTTAGTTCAAATTCACAAATTTATAACTAATTAAAATTCAAATAACTATGATAGGATAATTTCATTGTATAATTTTATCTTTGATATCTTTTATCCTACATTGAAAGGAACTTAATAGTATTTTCACTTTTCAATAAGAATAGTGGAAACTTTGTGACCTTTGCCTTTTGGAATAGTATGCAGTTCACATCCCTGGCCTGGTGTGCATTTCGATAGGAAGCGTGCATTCTTTGGAGTGCCACTGGTAGTGATTTTTCAGTTTGGTCACAGTCTCCTTTGCACTCAGTCCAATGCAGAGCATTTTTTGTACATATCTGCTTTCCCTCTCTCCTGTTTATGCCTTGTCCTGGAGTCAACTCTTCCTGGCAGTATGTTAGTGTGCTTTGTGTGAATATTCAGTGTCTTGAGTGTATTTTTAGGACTATTGTATTTGGTGTGTACTGTAGTTGTAATTGATGTACGTTTTACATAAATGCTAATCTGTTTGAGAGATTTTGAAGAACATTGCTACTTCAAAATTAATCTCTAGTCATTCTCATTTTTGGATGTTATTTTTTAGTATAAGATCAAAATATTGTGTCAGTAGTCTACTAATAATTTATTAAGAAGATTGGAAGTAATGCAAATGATCATCATATTATTTTATCATTTTCATCTACTAAATTAAGATTCATATAAAGTATTTATCATTCTTTCTGTATTACAAATTTGATTTGAAGTATTCTACTGACAATAATTTGAACCAAATGAAGATACAAGGAAATTTCAAGCTGCTGTGAATTAACAATCTCTTTATAGTGCATGATTTTTCTTTCGTAGATGATTAAGTTCTGTTTTCTCTTTACCTTTTTGTGCTCTTCACTCTTCACTCTGTGCTCCTTCTGTTCTGTGGGAACAGCAGGATTCGTAATCCCTGTCATTAAGGGTAGGTATCATACACTTATTTATAGCTTGTTGGAAGACAATGCCAAATATTCCGTTAAATTTGGCCTAGTAGATACTCCTTTCATTTAACTCTCTTAAGTAACTCTGTTTTTCAACTTTATCCTTGAATATTCATTTCTTTAAACTGAGTTTGGCATTGTCATTGCTGTTACCCTGATAGCAATTAATTCTATCTTCAGGGAAATCTTTAAATTCTTCAATATATATTATATAGCACATTTCTCAATTTAATGCTAAAATTCACTCATGTTTTGTGTAACTGTCTGTTAACAGCATATGCATTTGATGTTTTGTTTGTTCTATATATCTACGCATTTGAATGAACTCTTTACATATAATTTGCATTGCCACAAATCTTAATGTGCACTAAATTATTCTTTTGTGGATTATGAGCCATGTTTGATGTTCTTTTCAGTATAATGATTAATGTTTGAAAGAACTACAGCTCAGAAAAAATTGTCAAAGTTTATTTCAATAAAGTAAATGGTTAAAACAAAGATAAGTCCGATTGATTGTATCACTTGCTTCTCTTCTTTTATTGTTTGGTCATTCATAAAGCGACTTTCTTCATCCTCTTCTTTTCCTTCCCTTTTTTTCCTTTCTTTGTCTTTTCTGCATGTAAACGGATTGTAATACATTTTTATATATTAGAATGTCCATGTCATTATCTCAGAATTAGCACTTTAATTTGTATTTAATGACATGATTGCACTTGTGCTTATTTGAGAGCATGGTGTTTGAATCAGTGATTTTTGTAGCAACTTTTTTTGCATTTTTACATTCATACAATATTACCTTTTAAAACATTTATTTTGTTGAAGCTTGAAACTTGCATGTTCTGTTGTGCATTGAATTATGCCTGCGCAGTGTAATTTCATTGTCATTAATATGAAATCAATTTGTATGGTATGAAATTATTTTTCTTTTCTGTTTTACATGTAGGTGTGTTATAGAATTAGTCCTTCAGACAGGCAATTAAGTTTGTCAGAAATAATTTCTTAAATGGTTTTAAAAACAAATAATTAACAGTCTTTGAGTATTACATCACTGGTAGTTATTCCATTTGAGACTTCTCCAGAATCCCTGTGTTACATGAACTTTTGAACTTGCAGAGGACTTGGGAGAATCTTCATCCCTTGCCAAGTGGAGTTCATTGGATCTCCTAACAGAAGAGGATACGGATGCTACTACACCTACAGTTCCTGATAGACAAGGTTTCCAGTTCTTTTTTCACTAGACTATTAGCTGAACCATCTCTAAAGTTTGGACATGGCCTATGTTAGATATCCTGTTATTTTGTTGTCAAAATTGATTAGTTTAGTTAGAATTTGCGTATTTTGGTTGTTCGTATTTTCGTGAGCTCTTCTTCTCAGTGTGTCTCTTATATGAAAATAATATATCCAAAAAATGCTTTTGCAGAGGACAGCATCTTCTCTCATGCATATCTACAACGTGTGACAAGTGATCGTGGGAGACCTATGGTGTCCACAGTCAGCATGGACATTTCCTGCCCTGGCTCTCCTGTGATGTCAGGAGCCCATCAAACAACCAGCTGCAAAACAGCTGCCCTTCTCTTTGTGCTGCATGCTGGTAGTGTGTTAGGTAAGTGAAGAGGCTTCTAATTTTACTGGTATTTTATTGGTGAGGGTCAATGAATTTTCATGTGCTTTTTGCGGGGAGTAATGACTCCCAGCCTGAAACGATACTTCTTAAGAAGTTTTATTGAAAAAATATGTACTATGTGACGATAATACTCATAAGAAGAATAATTTATTGAATACGAGATGTATTATGCCACATATTAAATACATTTACACTATTTATTACACTTCTGTCTCACAATTGTCACATATTTTGCATTACATTTCATACTAGTGAACCCGGCAAAGCTTTGCTATTGCAGTGTATTACACATCACACACTGGTCACGTGATTTTTAATCACGTTTTACTTGGTGCACAAAAATTTTTAAGAAATGAGAGACTTTCTTGCATGTATGGGTTTGTTCTACTTGTATGTCCTTTTTTTGGACATGGTTGTCAAGTATCCTATTATTAAAACGTATTCCCTCAAATTTGTGCATACATTCATTATGACACTTATCTTGGAGAAATTTTATTTACTTGTCTGAGATTCAAGTTTAAATTTCAGCCGATATTTCACAATCGCAGGGGCATAATACGTCTAAGCAGTGAAGTCGTGCTAAATTCTTGTCTGTGCAGCAGGTTGCTTAGAGTTCAGGGACGCTTGAGTAGTCGTAAATGAATAAATGGTCAACCACACCCCCACATGTCCGATTTAATTCAAACTACTCTTTAAACATTGCCATTACTGATAAGAATAAAGAGTGAAATTTCAGCGAAATCGGTCCAGTAGTTTTTCATCTATGTGCTACTCACATTCTCTTTTATTTATGTATAGTTATTGCTTTCACAATTTTTTATTTTACACTGCCGGGAACTTAATGTGAGTCACATGATGGAATATTTTTAAGGGGAAAAGTAAATTGTGTTTCAAATAACACTTTTCTGTTGTTGTTGGGGTTTTCATTGTATTTATTGTTGATATTACTGATATTACTTGTCTCGACATTCAGTTTAAACATGTCTAGTTAAAAGAACCAAAACAGTAATATCTTGTACAGACTAGTTTTGAAGCACATTTTGTAGAATACTCTCCAGCCTCTTAATCCACATTATCTTTGCATCCTGATGCATAGTATATTTAGTAGCATTACCTCTCATTGCATTACACAATACGTCCCCAATATATTTGTTGAATATGGCATGTACATTCTTCCATGGTATGTAGTTGTATCGAATTTTCATGGCAAGAACTGAGAAAATGCATCGATTTTTGGAAGGGAAATGCCTACTTCCAACGCTATTCCTGTGTCTTATTTCATGGATTCACTTTGTAAATGTAATGCCATGTAAGAAAGCCAAATAATTTTTCAGATGAAACAATGAAAGAAGTTCATGAGTTCATTTAAAATATCTTATTAATTTGAAAATCATGAATTGGTACTTTGATAACGATACAAAAGTCATGAAATCATAAACTCCTATCTTTAAAAACAAAGAAGTTACAAGAGCAACAGGATTTGACATGTTGCCTCTGGACATTCTAATATTAAATGTGCTTTTCAATTTTACTTTCTCACTACCGCTTAGGCAGTAGAGAGAAAGTTATGTAATGCTGCATGAAAAACCAGTGAATTTTCGGCAAAAACTCTTTTATTACAGGACCCTGGTAACGGAAAAGTGGATGAATCCAATAGCTAAATTTAGGTGGCAAAAACTTCACTAACATGTGATGTAGCCAGAATCCATGTTTTGTTGGTCAATCAATCTGGCTTTCTTTGTGGCACTTTGAATTTGTAACTGAAATTTACATTTTCAGGTGTACTTTACAGGAAGTCCCTGAGACATTTTCAAAATTTTCAAAAAAAAGGATCCAACATTTTTGATTAAACTTAGTCTCATGTTCGTTAAAGACACTAATTTATCAAAAATTGCAGGGATTCACCACTTTTTCGGCAATCTTCCTACAATTCAAATATTAAAGAGAGATTTTTCCTTCTTAATGTAATCTGTTCCTTAAAGTTAGATTTTGAAATAAGGTTGTGTATAATTTTTCAAAAATTTAAGTTTTAAAAACAATTGACTAAGATGTGTTAAGCCTTACAAAGTGCGAGAAAGTATGTGCTGTTGTAACTCCACCAGTTTTCTTTAATGAAATCTGTTCTTTAAAGATAGATTATGAAGTAAAATCATATACAATTTTCCAGAAAAATTATTGATTTGTGCCTAATTTTTGCGTAAAAGTGTGGGATGAGAAAGTATGTGCAGTTGTAGCCCCACTAGTTTTAAATTTATTTTTTCAGAGCTAAATTTTTCTGCAGCAAAATATATTTTATTTGCTTATTTAACCTACATCTTCCCAATGTTATGAAAAGAGAATGCAATTTTCATCATTTTATTTGACTGTTACAGCCCATTGAAAGCATTTGTTATTTTTTGTTCAAAAAAAAAATTAATAATTAGTTTCATATTATATATTTTGGATAAGTATAATATAAGAATACAATTTTTAATTTTTTCCTCCATCAATACTGTGCCTTATTAAGAAGCCTTTACAAATTCTTGTTTTTTGTTCTTGAAATACCTTTTGTTGTTGGAAAATGACCTGTATACTTATTATCATACAGCAACATAAATATGTATGTATTTAACATTTCATGGTAAGATTAATCCTACTTTTGCCAGCTAGTGTTTCCGGGCCTGGGCTCTGTTTTTGTTTATTATCCACGCTTGGGGGTAAGGGGACATGTGGCAAGCATGACACACTCCCATCACCATACATAGCCTACTTGGCTTCCCTGAACTTTTCTTTTATCACGCAGCTATAGATACCGAGACAATTCTGTACTTGAAAGTTACAAATTTAGTTCTGCCCCAATCAGGAATCAAACCTGGGGCTGCCTCGCAGAAAGCAAGCACACTGTCAAAGAGCTCCAATGCCAGGGGCTTCTGTAAAATATGTGTTCAAATAACACTGAAGGTTTGAAAAGAAAGTGATTTTCAAAACAACTTCTAAAACCAAGTAAATATTATGTTGCATTTTTGCTGTGTTGGGAGTTTCCCCATGGATTCGGGAATGGTTCAATTCTGTTGCAATGTTACAATTTGTAGATGCATAGCATTTTGAAGGAAATGTAATATTACGAAGAAGGTGGTATTTTTGGGCTGTTCTGTTGACAGATGTGCCACAGACCATAATCACAGTAGTTTTCTCGTACTCAAACAAAGTATTGCACACTTCCTCTATGTAACAGTTAGTGGGGTCTTTCATAGATTCCAATTGTACAAGAAAGTATGTCTCAAACAGGTTTAAAGAAATAAAACAATTTTTTCTCCTTTTGGAAAGAAATGGATTTCTTTCCAAAAGGAATTGTGGCTATTGGGGAAAAAGGGCATCAGACAGTTTGCTTCAAAAGTAAGAAAATGGTTAGAAAACAAAAGTTGTATTTGATGGTCAAGCATAATGAGATTTTTATTTGTTAGAGGATCTGATTGTTGTGGAATATTTATATTTTGGCATCAGGGAATTCTAGAAGTCTGATTCGTTTTGAGTCAGAAATGTTACTTTCTCTTTGGAGAGTGCCCAAATTGCAGTTTGTGACACTCCAGCAAAAGAGTGTGAGAGACAGTCAGAAGAACTGTGTAAGAGCTGTAGGAATACATGCAGACAATATAAATTTGTAAGTGCAATTGTAATGTTAACAGGACAAAGATCAAACATTACGAGTACAGTATTTGTGAAGAACAGCTATTACGCTTATTTTTATATGAAATTGAGAGATCAGGACAAGACCTTTGCTTCACAGTTATGATGTTGAACACGTTAAGTAGGTTTAGACAATGGATCAAGGGGATCATAAAGGCAATTATGCTTGGGTATACCTATGATGTGGAGGGAAGGAAAGAATCATTGAACATGATGCTACTTTTGCATGATGAAATCACAAGATAATTATAGTCAAGATTCTTTACTTCATATTTTAGAGGTATCAAGGTCGCTGGGACATTGATACAATGGCTGACTTTTGTTGGTCTGAAAAGAAACATACACAAACCTGGAGTCATACATAAACAGAAGGAGCTTAAGAAATCATTTATATAAATTAAATAGTCTTAAGTAAACCTTTAAAATATAATAATGGAAAGGGGAAATAGCTGCATTTATTTCAATCATTCACTTTTATTACTCACGAAAGTCACCTACAGAAAAGAAGTACGAGGATACCAATTTTTTTCACTATACTTATGTTTTTTAATATAATTTTCTGTGAACAATGATTGCACTAAAACTAGATATGATTCAGGAAAACTAATTTTATATTTGAGGTAAGCATGGTCAATTCCTATAAAAACTGTTCAAAAATTCAAACAAAATTTTTTTTTGAAAACCCAGGCCAGTGTAATTTACTGCTTTTAAAATCTTTCTTCCTTCTTCCATTGGTGATTTTGATATGTCTGCATTTTAGCAGATTTGCCTCAATAGTAAATATCATTTGTGATGTTTTAAATTTTTAATAAATTCTGGACATTATTCAGTGTTAGTTTGAGAAGCAAATCTATTGTGTATACATTTGTGGGCACATTCAGTGATTTTCTATATCTTCATATGATGCAATACTAACCAATTTAAATATAAGAAATTTAGACTCTATGAGCCAACATTCTTCCATAGGTTGTAAAATATATTTTTGGTATAGTGTTACTCTTTAGGGAATTGTTATAGACGTGTTCAGTAGGGGCTCACATCCTGGATATAAACACTTGATCACGTATTGTAAATAAACCAAACTGCACCTTTTTTTGCTTAGAGTGACCCAGAAGTTGTAACTCTGATTTGACATTGACAACCTTTGTTGAAGGGTTGAGTAGGTTAAATGTAATGGTTTTCTAAATAAGTTGCTGGAAACAGAATGATAATTTTTCATGCAGCCAGAGTAGGCAGTTCTTTGAAGAGAGCATTCAGGGATTTGTTCATGGTAGGCAGTTCTTTGAAGAGAACTTTGGTTTTAAAGTCTGGATTTTGTGTCACAATATTAGAAATAATATATTTATTTGTTTCTAGATGCAAATGTGGATGTAACTGCCAAGAAGTCTGACATTACCACATTTCGGGGGGCATTTGAGTGTGTGATGAGGCAGCACTACCCTTCTATGGTGGGGCACATTGCCATCAAGTTGGTATCCTGCCCCTCCATCTGCACAGAAGCATTGGGAGTGCTTTCCAGGTTTGTAAAAAATACCTGTGAAAATTGTGTTATTTGCACTAATCCATCTTGAATTTCCAAGTGTCTAAGATGTTTATTCAACTTTTCAGCTTGAGCCCGTACAGCTTTGATGTATCTCCATCTAGTGTGGACTCACCCCAAGTAACTCATGACTCAATTCCTATTGGAGCCATTCCTCTCTTTGCCTCTTCATCGCCTGAGTATCAGGACACTGTGTCTAAAGTAATAAATGCTGCCAATGCAACTTACCAGGAATTCATTAGGTCTGATGAAGGCCAAGGTTTCTGTGGACAGATTTGTTTCATAGGTAAAATTTCTTTGTTTTTATGTATGTACGTATCTATTATTTCAAAAATAAATTAATAACAAAGAAGAATCGTTTTACTCCATTACATTTCCTTTCAAATTTGTAAGTAGATTCATTTTGACATATGAGCTTTGTTTGTTTTCCTTTTTTCTAGTATAGTTTCTTTACTTTTTTTCTTCATTTCCTTCATCCATTTCTTGTTTTTGAGTTCTTTTCCCATTTCCTTATACTTACATGCATTTTATTCTTTTTCCAGTCTTTTACTTCTATATTCTTCTTATTTATTTTGGCTTTTTGATGACCTGCCATCTTCATTTTGTTTTCTTGTCCTTTTCTGTTTTCTATTTCTTTTTACCCCTTTCATAAAACTTTTTTTCTCTCTAAAATGTTAATATTTTTTTGTTTTGTGCATGAATTATAATTACAATATTATGAAATATTTGAATTACAGCAACTGTTGTGGGAGATTATAATTGTGTCCCCTTCTTTGCAGGTGATGGTGTTGGCTCTATCCTTGGTTATGATGCCTTGTGCCGCACAGCCCAGTATCAATCACGCCATGACAGTGAGAACAGCATCCTGGACACAGACACTGGCCAGGATGAGAATGTTGAGAACGGTTGCGACAGCCTTCACCCTGGCAAACACCTGACAGCTCCTCAGCCCCGGCGACGCTCTTCCTCCACCAGGTTAGAGCCCACTCTCCTGTCCTCCCCACGCTCAACAGTATTTTTTAATGAAGATTTGTTGTAGGTTGGTCCTAAACTAAACATTAGGAAAATATTTATTAAGCTGTATTAGGTCTTAAACCTGACCTAAAAAAATTAATAATAAATAATAATATAAATAATAATAAAAATAATAATATAAATAATAATAAAAATAATAATATAAATAATAATAATAATAATAATAATAATAATAATAATAATATATGTCATTATTATTATTATTATTATTATTATTATTATTATTATTATTAAAACAATACATATCAATTCTGTTAGCAACTACATAATATTTAACAATATTAGTACATTCTATATTTAAAACTTGAAATGGTGAGGAGGAGGAGGAGGCGGCGGCAAGTTTTGACCAGTTTTTTTCTTTTTTCTTCTTTCAATTTATACATGTAGTCCTACTGCAGCACCTAATGCATCTAGCGAATCCAGAGAGAAACAGAATTTTTTGTTTTTTGTCAGCTTTTCTCCTTCTACTTCACAGGATGCAATATGCCAGTTCTTTTTTCTTTGCTTCAGCTCAAAACAGTTAACATGAAACAGAAAGTCTAATGGAATAAGAAATTCTTATTTATTTATATTTTTTAAGGGAAATGTTGTTGTAATTTGAATACTCCTTTATACTGTAGAACATGTTATTAAGCAGGAAAGCTTTCAATTTACTTTTAAATGTATGAATTGTATTTATGTCTTTAATAGTGTTGCCTATTTTGTTGTAAAGTGTAATGCCCTCTATTAGGGTACTTTTTTGATAAAGTTTAGTTTCAGAGTGGGGAACATGTAGGTTATCCTTTTGACGAGTGTTGTAGTTTATACATCGGAATTTAAAATAAGTGTTTTTGTTTTCCTTGAGAAATTTCTTTTGAAGACCACTATTTCAAATATATACATGCATGGTAGAGGAAGAATCCTTAGTTTATTGAGCAAAGGTTTGCAAGACTCCAGCTTATGAGTGCTGGTCATTGTTCGCAATATTCTTTTTTTGGATAATGAATGTGAGAGTGCTTTCAGGGGCATTTCCCCAGAATATTATTCCATATTTTAGGTGTGAGTGCCACATTGTGTTTGCAAAATACATTGTTCGAAGGTGTCTCAATGTTTCGAGCTATCTGGGGTGTATAGGGCATAGCAGGATTTGTTGAGCTTCTTGTTAAGATTTGAAAATGTGAGCATTTCCATTTTTTAGGTTTTCTTGAATTGTATAGAGACCGAGGAAGGTAGTTCAGGAGAGAGATATCGTTACAGAGTTATTGTTTATGAGCAAATGCTGTGAGAGTTTTTCTTTAGATAGGGATTCAATGAAATTTAGAGAGACTGTCTTGCTGTGTTAATGAATGAGTTTGTTGCTTCAAACCATTTTACGAGTATTGCAAAGTTTTGGTGTGTGTGTGTGTTTTTTTTTTTTTTTTTTTTTTTTCCTTTGCACTTCTATATGTGATAGTTGTGTTTTTGTTTTGATGCTTATGTTTGTATCATTTGCAAACAAAATTATTTTGTTGTTCCTAAAAGCAAAAGGAATGCCATTTACGTATATAAGGAATAGTATTAGCCCAAGGATGGATCATTGCGGGATTCCACAACTTATCATTTGAAGGTAGGAGTAGTATGAGGAGATTTTGTTTTCTTCAGTGTGCTGGAGAGCAACTATTTAGCTACGGTTTGATAAATACAATTTGATCCATTGGCCTGCAATGCCTTGAATGGTGTGTTTTGTTAATTAGAGTGTTGAGAGATTAACTTATTACTAATTTGTGAAAAGTGTTCATTGAATATATCAGCTATTTCTTGTGGGTCTTGTACAGTTTGGTTTTTGTAGTGGAGCTCTATATTTTTTTCTGTTATTATTAGTTGGTGCTGCAGTCTTTTTTATAATGTCCCACATAGCTCTTGTTTTATTACGTGCATTTGCAAAGTACTTATCATCTGTCATAATTTTTGCTTGTTTGATTACTTTTTTTAGGATTAAATTTTATGTTTCGTGATACTAAATGAAGCTTGAGTTACATTTGTTATTTGTTAGTATATTATACATGTTGCATTTTCTGTCATTTGACACTTTGGTGCCTGTGGTAATCCACGATTTAGTTTTTGTATTTTGGATCTTTTTGAGTTTTTGAGGAAAAAAGGCATTGAAATGACTTAAGTATATATTTATGAATGAATTAAAGTTATCGTTTGTATCAGTTGCCTTATATACTTCATTCCAGTTTTCAAATCTGAGTAAGTTTTGAAATTTTATTATGTTTGCTTGGGAATAGTTACGGATTTCTTTGTAAGTTGTCTGTTCCGTGTTTTTTGTTTCTGTTTGGAGTGTTAGAATCTGGGCAGTGTGGTCACTGAAACCTTTATTAAATGTAGCAACAAAAAAACATGGTTATTTGCATCTATTATTATTTGATCTATAGCAGTACTATTATTTTTAAATATTCGGGTTGGTGTGATTATTGTTGTAAGTTGATTGATTTTACTAGGTCTTGAAATAGATTTTTATTACTGGATTGTGTGAGGCAATCTATATTGAAGTCACCGCAAAGAATAATTTTATACTGTCTGTGTTTTTGAAGTTTTCGTAGAATAACTTTCAGATTTTTTAATAAGATTTTCAAATTCTCAGCAGGGCTGAGATATGTGTATAAGGCCCATGTTTTTATTGTTGTTAAGTCAGTGATGGATATTTCAAAGTCTTTCCCTCTTACAAGATGAGTGTGACTGGTGTAGGGTACAAAACTAATTGTATCTTTAATAAAAATACATGTCCCACCATATGCATGATGTGCGTTGTTAATATTTTGACATGAGCTGCTGGCTAAAGAGAAACCTGGTCTATATGTGATATCTAATTGTTTTTTAGTTAACCAGTGTTCTGTGAAGCACAGTACAGAAATGTGGTTGAGTTTCTCCTTGAGTAATATTTCTGTAGTTTAGTATAGTGAGTTTAATTTTCAGTGACTGTCCATTTTGGTGAAGAATGTGAAAATAGTTCTTACTTTTGTGTATTGTCTGCTTTCCTGCCGATGTTTGATGCTACAGGTTATACACAGGAGTGGGTTTTCGGTTGCAATGGAAGTTATATGTATGGATGGGACGGATAGTAGGAAGTGTGGAAGTAGCTGAAGGGGCTGAAGAGCAGAAGGTGAGGAGGTGATTGGAAGAAGTGGAGTGGACACGAGAGGTGTAGGAGTAGGAACTGGTGTAGGTAAAAAAAGGACTGGGGTAGGTGAGGTGTGGGAGTAGGAAAAGGAACTGGTGGGAGTAAGAGAGGACTGGATGCTGGTGAAAGATGTGGCGTGTGTAAGAGGGTTCTGGATGGAGTGACGGAAGATTGAGTGGGAGATGGATGTGGGGTGGCAGGGGTTCCCAGTAGGTGTGAGGTGAGCATGGCTCCTAGTATTTGTTTACCTACCTGGTTCATGCGGAGACCATGCTGAGTAAAATGTTTTGTCGAGAGGTTGTCAAGATCAACAAGTGTGATACGTGTCTCTCTCAAGTGCTGTCTTATATGATGGTTTGCCATCTTCATTTCATGGTTTATAGGAATGTTGTGCCAAGAGGCAGAGTGGTCATGATTACGTTTGTGTGTTTGGCAGTCTCTTGTATTTCTGTTAAGTGTTCCTCTGCAATTTAAATAAGAATTTTTAGTCATCTCTGTCCACTAATAATATTTTTGAAAAATAAATTTATTTGTTTATAAATGTTATTAACATCAGTGTCATATATTACATTATAAATTTTGCTTCAACAAAATAAGAATATAATTAACAATAAATAAGTACAGTTATTCACACCTACCGCCTCTCCATTTAAGATTTAAGAAATTAAAAAATTGAAAATTTTATAATTGCATATTATTTGGTGTTTTGGGTTTTTATGAAGAAAAAAAGGGAGGGCAAAGACCTATTTCACTTTTAATGTTAAACAAATCACTTCTTTCAATTAATGTATTTATTAATAGTGTGCATTCTACAAGAAGCTTACAATTTGTAATCAAATTTCACTTGTTAAAAAACCTCATATAAAAGATAAAAAAAGTGGTTTAAATGCCTTTCTTTCTGAGATAGAGTTACCAGAATGCAGACTTAAAGTTTATAAATATTTTATGAATACTAAAATAAGATTTTAACAAGTTTCTCCTTTAGAAGGCAAAAAGGAAAAACTGGACTAGCGAATCAAATTGCTTCTATTGATTTAAGAAAATGTTGAATTTAATTAACTAATTCTAGAAAAGGCAAAATTAACAGTTCAGAATTGGGGAAACTATTTAAGATTGTTGATTATCAGCAAGTTAAAAACGTAATTTACCAATAACAAAGATATTGAAGCTGACAAGTATTCATTTTTTAAAAATGTTTTTAATCTGAAAAATTGAAATAAAAAGAGAGGAAAAAAAGAATGAAGTATTATTGGGCAATCTTTTAGCTTTTTATCTAGTGAATTAAACCTACTTAGTTAAATTAGTGGAAAATGCGTTAGAAATTACGAAAAAAGTTAAAAAAAAAAGAAATAAAAAGTCTCATTTAGATGAAATCACAATTTTATACTTTATAGCCTTAAAATGAAAAAAAAAAATAAAAGGGCGTATATAAATTCGGCCATTTCCTCTTTGTCATACATAAAATTTAATATCTATAATAAACCATTTTTTAAAAATGAGGTGTTAGTTTCAGAACTATATCGTGTTATCAAATGGCATGTTTGAAGACGTAAAGATAGGCTGTCACTTTCTCAAAAATTAAATTAAATTTTACTTATTTTATTTATTTATTATTATTATTATTAATTTATTAATAATTTATATATAATAATAATTTAATAATAATAATAATAATGATGTTGTTGTTATTATTGTTATTATTATGAAATGGAAACTGTGCTGACCTGGGTGGCCGAGGTGGCTAAGAGCGTGTACCAATTCAGCCTCGGGTTCAGGTCCCATCTTGGGCAAGGTTGTTTGTCCTTGTCTCTCGTGTATGTGTTGTCACGGAGGGCCTTGTGTTTCTGCTGTCCTTGAATCAGAGGAACCCGCAAGTGTGTTGGTGTTTAGTGTATGATAGAATATGCATCCCATCAGGACAAAGAGGGTCCCCATCTGTCGACTGGATAAAAGACCTAGGGGAGGGGGGAAATGGAAATGAAAATATATTCAACGTTACAAATGGATAAAGAAATATAATTAAACTTATGGTTAGTAAGAAAACTCACTCCTGTTGAAATCTATAAATATTTTAAAATCAATGTAATTGACATAAATTCTCCCTTCGATGCATGACACGCGAATTTTGTGACTTTTTACTAAATGGGCCTCAGAGGCCCGGTCTGAGTAAAACACTAATTTGGGGCCAGGATGAAGTAAAAAATGTTGTAGCACTATTAGCTTTTACTGTAATAATGATATGGTATTTATGGTTTTGAAAAAGACCACCTACTTTTTTTCCCACATTTTGATAATTTTTTGGGCTTGTAATAGTTTAATGGAAATAAAGCTTTTGGAATGTTATTGAGCAGCTTTTTTTGAGATTTTGAGAAATTTCATGAGAGGCTTGTGTCCACAAATGCAATATATTATAAAATACGTTGGTAAAATATTATGAACTGTACATAAGGAAATTGCATTGAAAATCACGCAAACATTGAAAATCTTAATATTGAAAAATCAGTTTGCATTAAGAAAAATATGACTGAAAACATTCGAGAATGAATTTCAGAAAAATATTCGAGAATTCAGAGGTTTTAATGAAAATCAGACTTTAAACCTTCTTTATAAGTGTGTTTATTTGAGTAAGATGTGTAAAGAAACTATTTGTTTGAGCTTTGTACCATGTAGTACCCCCCCAAATAAAAAATTCTATTGAAATTTGCAGCAGCTCAGTTTGAGAAATATTGATTAGAGTGAATCTTGGTTAAAATTCTGTGTACTGTTTTTCATTAGTGCTATTCATAGACAAAACATGTTTCTAACATTTCAAGATAGATTTTTTTTGTAAGTGAGTGAATAATACAAGAAATTCTCTGCTATGTTGTAGCACTGCTAATTAAAATGATCTTTTCCTTTATTAAAAATTTCATTCAGACTTTTCTTCCTTTCCAGTGAACATTCTCATCACTGCAAATTAGAATTTGAAGTAAATGAATTTTTTATGTTTGGAAGTCCCCTTGCTCTTGTGCTTGCGTACCGAAAGATCTCTTCAACAGATGACAAAAGTAGTAAGTATGAATATTGTACTCAATAAACAACTTCATGGGCTGATTACCCGGCAGTGCCTGCTCTGCATCACACTCTCTGCTTCCTGCATCTCCCTTCTCCGCCATGTCTGCACTCCCTGTCCAAATATGCCCACATCGCATTGACGTGCTTGCCTGACATACACCTCTCTGCCACAACCCCCAGCTCTGATGCGTCTGACCCTACCCCTCTCCCTTTCCCCTACTCCGGCTAACACAACACTTCCAACCCACCTGCCCAGTGTTTCACCTGTGGCATTCCACCCCGCCTCGCCTCAAAAAAAAAAAAAAAAAAAAAAAAAAAAAAAAAGAGGGTATCATTTTGGGACATGACTTGCCTAATTTTTTCTTGACTGCTCAGAACCATTTCTGCAAAATTTTAATTTTGAAGGGGTTTGGGGCATGGGGGGGGGGGTGTCAAAGAACAGTTTCCATTACATGAGATCCACCACTTTTCAGGAACCATCTGATACATTTAAATGCTTTCATTTCAGCTCCTATACCCCGACCACAAGTTCAGCAAGTGTACAACTTATTCCATCCAACAGACCCCGTTTCTGCTCGATTGGAGCCACTTCTCTCAGCTCGATTTTCAATGCTGCCTCCAGTAAACATTGCACGCTATCAGAAATACCCTCTGGGTAATGGACAACCATACCACCTTTGTAAGTAATATTATGAGTATTCCTTACTTGGTTTGGATTTGTGGGACTTCATAATTTTTGTCAGAAAATCAAAACATTTTATTTTGTCCTTTATTAAACATCAAATTACTTTATGAACCCGTTAGTATTTTTTAATAACTTCATATATCCCATGCAAAATGTAACAATTGTTCTGTCGCCTTGTCCTTCATAAAATGCAATTCATATAGATTCATGGTTTTATGTACAAATGTTGAATTTTAATGGCAAGATACAAACCTTTTTTTGTACTGTTACCTATTACTGTAAAGTAAGTCCTTGAATGCCTTCGTTATGTTGGTCACTATTGTTTGTTAGAGACAATGGACATTTTTTGGTGGTACCAGACAAATTCCTTTATTTAATTAAAAACAGACAATAATTATAATGATGATGATGATGGTAATAAATAATAATAATAATAATATATCCTGTGTAACAGTTAAGAAATAACGATTATTAATTAATAATAATCGTTATTTCATAACTGTTACACAGCTCACATCTTAACTATTATAACTTATTTTTCTACAATCCAACAAAAGCATTTCGTTTACAATATTTGTCCCGTAATAATGAACATGGTAAAGAAGTTCCAAACAAAGTCAACGCGAACAGAGGTGTGACAATTATTAGTCTCAAGAACATATCTTGTAAACAAGTACATATTTTGTGTTCCATTTTTTGTGTGTTGTAATAAAAATTAATGTTTTTTGTGCATCTACTAAAACAGCCCTATTCTATATGTTTTGGAAATTTTGCTATGAGAAATAGACATTTTTGTCATTATTCCATTATGCCACTGAGCTGATAAAATAGTTGTTCCCAATTGTAGTTGTTCCCCAGTGTCTTCAATTTTTGCTTCTCAAATGACTACAGATCCTTTTGGAGCTCCTATCCCAACTGTTTTCAGACCTTGGCAATGAATTCACATTGATTTCATCGAAAAAATTTTACATTGTCTTGAATTAATGATATGATGCTCCTTTGTAAAGAAAGACAAAACTTCTGTTAAGAAAACACTGCTGTAGTCAAGGTAAAATTTGTATTTCTAGAACTTTTTATATTGGTGCTGATACACGATGCTTCTCACAATAAGTGACTTGAACTACCATGAGACTATACCACATGGCTCCAAAGTGAATGGAACTAAATATTGTACATTTGAGTTTAATAACTTCACATCTCTGTACTGTAATCAAATCTTAGATTTATATCTTTACCTTTGATTAAGCTCAATTACATCGCTCCATCTGGGGGAGTTGAAAAATGTTGTTCCAAAGGTATTAAAAGCAAAGTTAGAAACAGGTAAAACAATTCCATGTCTGATTTCATTCATAGGAAACCAGAAGAATTTGTGTATTCCAAAATAATAAGATTTTTTGCAATTGTTTGCAGTGGAATTCATCCAAGCAAATCCCCAGATGTTTGCAGAGGGCCTGAGTGTGGCTTCCCCAACGCCAGGGCATGTGCGGCGCCTGTCAGAAGTCAGCATTCAGAGCACTGTCTCTGGAGTCATTGATTCACTGCCACTACAGACTATCAATGCCTGTATGTATTGCAGGATGTAATAATTTTTTTAAAAAACTCGAAATTAAACTGTGTGTGAACTTTGCTAAGAAAAATAGCAAATATACGTGTAACATCTTTGAAAAATCTGATATTGATTTTGTATTTCGGTATATAACATTTCATATAAGATTATATTAGTCATTACAATATGAATTTGCAACCTCTGTGAGAAAAATGATTTGTATTCATTAGAAGCTAGCTAAATACTTTGTTGAATTCAGTCATTAAAATTATAAACAATTCGAAAAAACACTTTCTCCATATTTAATATATTTTTATTTATTGCCCAGGGCCATTTGTGATTATTACCATATCCCATGAAAGAATCGAATTTAGTTCTTCTGATATTTGTTACAGTCATGTAGACTTACTGCCTTCTTGGAATCAAACAGCTTGTGTATTGAAGATTAGGTTCACTGTGTTTCCAGTGGATTTTGTTGAACCTGACAGTGCTTTTGCAATTCAGCTCCTGCACCTTTTCCCTAATCACAGACATTGTATAACCCTAGTGTATGTCCCCATCAGGGTTGGTTGGTATGGTTGATCAATCTTCACAATACAATCTTTGTGACATAGGAAATTATATTATAGACTTCATAGCTTGTTTTGGATTAACTGTGTTTCTTTTCATTATTAATTTGTATTACTGGTATACTGGTAAGAGAACGAATTGCAAATTGCTTTTTGCTTTTGTTCTTATGTACATTACATTGATACTTCACACAACTTTAATTACAATATTTTTATTGAAAATGGTTAACCTTTTTTATAATTGCATTATTTTGACTTTGTTTTTTTCTAGTAACTCAGAAATGGTGGGGCACCAAGAGATTAGACTATGCTTTATACTGCCCAGAAGGCCTTGCCAACTTTCCCACAAATGCTCTGCCTCATCTGTTCCATGCCAGCTATTGGGAATCTTCTGATGTTATTGCCTTTATTCTGAGACAGGTGAGGTCCTGTTTAACTATTATAGGGCAGAAGCTATTGCCAGTATACCAAATATAGCCACATTAAATGAAATTCTCATGATTAAAAGCCATTGAGGTTAATTATTCCTTCTTTACTAGATTAAAATTTAATTCAGTTAGCTTTGTTCTTTAAATGTATTAGATTGCCACTTTAAATCATACTAGTCACAGATTTGAAAGGAAAAGACAAGTAGTGAATTAAATGTTGTTCTTGTTGTGCTTAAGATGAAGCTGAGTCACATTTAGTAAAACATGTTTAACATATTGATTAATTTTATTGTGTGAAGATAAGGAATAGCTCTTATTATGTATGTATTACAAATCAATCATTTCAATTTTATTAACAGACTGGTGTAATAAAAATAATTAAAATCTATCCACTGAGGAATAATTTCCAGTGTGCAGGCCTGTTTTATCATGTACACATTATTTTTCTTTTTAACCAGTACTAAGTTGTAATAATGCTAGTCGTAGGAAAGTAACAAGATAGCAAACAAACTAAGAATTAAAAAATCTAAGCTACTATTACATGATAGAAAAGTAAAAAAGAACAACAAAATCCAAAAACATAAATGCACCCATAGGCTTACTTATACATACATATACATTTTAGTTTTACATGACATTTTTTTCTCTCATTCAGACGAATTCAGAATCATCTCATCAGATGAATAGAGATGAGAAATATCTGCTTGGAGATATGTCAAAATTTCTCTGATTATCTTTATCTTGTTACTACAGGTATAACTAATGTATTTGATTTCCTTGCTCCACAAGTTAAATACTCTATAGCTAATATAATTATGATTTCATCTACCATTTTTTTTTTAGCTGTAGGTGGTACTGTTAATGTTTCTCTTTTGTAGCAAGGGCCCTTGAATTTTTCTTTAAGAATCACAAAGTTTTTTAAAAGAGATTTTTGCAAAAAGTTTTTTCTATCAGAAATTATCCCATTCTTTAAAAAGCATATCCTAAGGGTACAATTTATCTTTTTCATAAATCATTTTTTAAATTTTCATTTGAATATACTGTAACAGTTTTAAAAAGAAGGCACCGCCCTACAAAGCAATTGCTCAGAACAATGTGTATTACATCATTATCAGTTGATTTTACTTTCTCACTACAGAGTAGAGAGAAAGTTACGTAATGCTGCCCAAAATAACGGTGAATTTCCGGTAGAAAAACTCATATTGCAGGGCTCTGGTATTGAAAAATCAGATAAATACAGTTACTAAATTTTTAAAAAATCCTCTAACACGTGATGTAGCCAGATTCCATGTTTTGTGGGTCCTTGATATTGAAAAAATTGAATGATGACAAAACGTCTGACCGTCCTACTGAACTACGTTACCGACTAAGGAATGTCAAACCACATGGAACACTTGGTACTAATTTATTAACCAAAAATGAAATTTATTATTCTTTCTCTTTATGAAATAAATATTGTTGAAAATGGCACAGTTATGCAACCACACATGACATTCAAGTAATAAATTATAGACTATTAACAGACACAAACAACTAAAACCTATTAAATAATTAAATACATATTCAATACTAATTTATTATCTCAAAGAGAAAATTATTAAAGTTGCTATTTATTAAATAAATATCATTAAAAACTGAATCATAGTTATTGAACCATTCCAGAATTTCAAATACGATTATAAAGAGTACCAACCTGCATGATCAGATAAAACCAAAAACGTAATTGAATACACATTCAATACTAATTTATTACTTTAAATATAAATTAAATTGGTTTTGAATATGTATTTAATTCTGCCCTTGGTTTTATTTAATACAATATGAAAAATGGAGATCCCAGGATGGTCCCCTGGAGAACCCCCTAAGTTAACCCCAGCTTACTAGTAATAGTTTTGTTCATTTTGACTACTTGTTTTCTACCAGCAAGGTAGCTTTCTATCAATTTAAGCACAATCCCTCTAAATTCATCATACAACGAATAAATAAAGCTTGGATTCTCCTGGCAATAAATGGGTACAGTTTATTAAGTAAGCTCTTGCTAGGAGGTGGCCATAGGTAGGACTATGCTTTCCACTTACGGCTCCATTTAAAACACTTTCAATATTTTTAAACTAATGTTGTAAATTATGTTAGAATTGTAAAATATAGGAATCATTATTACTACTACTATATAGTAGATTACACTGTCTGGAGCCAAAATATTTTTTTTTTTTTGTTTTAATGAAAAAAATTCAATTACTTTTTTTTTAATTTTCAGTTTAACATGTGCCCTTTTGCAGGAACATGCCATGAGCATTGAAGGAAACATTTATGAAATATAATGGTGAATATGCGAGATACATTTAGGTGTAAGAAGGAAATGTGAAGGAAAAATATGGCAAATGTATGGGGGAACATGCAGGAGCTATGAGGAAAACTTGCTGGGTTCAGGTGGAGCCTGAATTATGTTTTTAAGCAGTATTCTTCTAAGTAATATCCTTTTGAACCTTTTGTTATAGTTTTGGAGATTTAGCTCTGCAAGTTTCTTCTACTTCTTACTATCTATGGAAGGCCAGAAACAAGCAGAAACTCAAATTCTATGAACGATTAGATTGATATGTGACAAGTCTGTTGTAACATCCTGAAATATTTATCTTTACTATCTAAATTTGCCTGACTCCATCTCGATAAATCACATAGACATTATGTATTCACAATTGCTCTGGATATAAATTTGTATATTGAAATGTCTTCATACAAATAACATTGGACGATTATGTGAAAGAATGGTCATTAATTGTTAAATGAAAATAATAGTACTTAAACAAAAAAATATCATGAGATCCTATGTTGAACAGATAAAATTATATTATTCAGTTCTCTACATGAATAATAAAATTGAAGGGCAGAACAAGGAACTAAATCATTTTATATCAAATATTCCTACTACTTGAAAAGCTTTTATCTTTCTTTGAAATAATAACACTGTTTAAACCATCAGTTTATGATATCAATGCATGCATGACTGACCTTTTTCTTCTTGGCTATAATCTTTTCACATGTAGTCAAGCTTCTCCCCTGCAACATCACAACTACTGCGTCCAATTTTACTTATCGGAGTTACTTCTAGATTCCACACATTCTTTTCCCACTTCCTTTCACAAATATCATATATATCATGAAAATTCTCTTACTAAAGGATTAGTCTGTGCAAAAGCAGCCAAAAATAACCTCTTTTGAACTTTTAATTTCCTAGGCAAAGCCTCCTATATCCATCCATGTATTAATCCACACCGACCAATGTCCAATGAGTTTGCATACACTTCACTGACAAAGCACTCACAAATCCTAACCTAATACAAATAAAACTCACAATGAAACAAAATAACATGTAATATGATGTATTACACCAAAATGCTTAAATAACATCCAGTTCAGGATATGAACATTCCAAGTTGGATTTAGAATGAAACTATTTTCACTTTAAAAACAGTAATTAACATTAACGAATGTTTTTTAATTTTAAAATGGACCCGGGATAATGGAGGTTCCTCTATATTTTATTTAAAAAAATTATTAGATACTATTTAAAATTGTCTTCCTTTTTAACATTTGGTTTGAATGTCCTTTATCTTGTGGCCCTCATTAGCTAGGACGCTCCGACCTGCTCCCTGTTTCTGGAGGCGATGATAAAGATATCCCTTGCTTCAGCCCCAGCCAACCAAGGGAGAAGTGGATCAGGAAGAGAACATCAGTGAAGCTGAAGGTAAAGTGCACTTCAGGGGGTTGTGATGCGTTTAAAATAGTGTGCTCTTTCAAGCTCTGTGATTGTGTGCTCTAGAATGTGGCTGCCAATCACCGAGCCAATGATGTGATTGTGGGTGAAGGAGCCCCTCAGCTGCTAATAGCGAGATTTATGTATGGTCCCCTTGACATGATCACTCTCACAGGTGAGGACATCTTCATCAGTTCTTTGCATGATCAATGTATTTCTTACTTCTTCATTTTGCTGTTTTTATTGATTTTAGAATTGATTGTAAATTTGGCCCTAATCCCTATATTGTGATAGTGTAACCTGCGACCATGCATCTTTCCATCACTCAAAGTGAGACCCTTTCTGGTTCATCAGTGGCTACAAATTAAGTGTAATTCAACAGATCTTGGACTCCTGGTGGGGAACTGTGTTGTTGTTGT